GCCAAGGTCTCCTGGGGGTTCTGAGGGGTGGCTGCCTGCGTCCTTGCCACCCTCTGGGGAGGAAAAAGGGGACCCTTGCCCCAGTTCCCCCGCCCACCAGCTCACGGGGATGATGTGGGCTCCCTGCTTTCAGGCTTGTCGCTTTTGGAGGACTTTGGCTTCAGCAAGATGAACCTGTTGAGGAGGTCGGTGTCCGAGCTGGCCTGGGCCCCCGCATACACCTCCCCTGGGGACAAAGCAGAGGGTGGGCTCAGCTGGTTGGGAATGCCATGGGGGTTGGAGGAGCAACAGCTCCTTGGCAGGGGAGCAGGGACACTCACCGGCATAGCTGGAGGACTCAGCCATGTTCTGGGAGCCGGTGATGTGGTGCCAGTAGGCGCTGCGGGGCAGCATGGTGGTGGGGGTGCAAGGGTAGGAGAAGTGCTCAGTGCCTTTGTTCAGCAGCTGTGGTGGATGAGAGGGGGAGAAGGGTGACACAGGGCCCCCTGAGTCTCCCCCTGCTGTGCCCCACCACGGGGTGGGCTGGAGCTCACCCTGACGTTCTTCTCCATCTCCAGCAGGACCCTCTTGTGCTGCTCAGCGATGGCCAACGTGGCACTGTGCACGCGTTGGTAGATCTGCTCACCCTCCTGCGTCTGGAAGGTGTAGAGACCTTCCCCTGCGTCGCACATCCTGCAGGGATGGGGCACGGAACGTCACCAGGGGTGATAAACAAAACCCACCCCAGGTGGCAGCTGGCCCGGCTTCCCATGCTGTTAGAGCTGTCCCGATGTCCCCTTCATGGTGTTGAGCTGGGACTAGACCCAGCTCCAAACGCCCCCCGCCTTGGGGCACCCTATGCAGGCCGTGGCCATCACCCCAGCCTCAGGCCTGCCCTGTGGTGATGGCAGCAATGCCATCTCCTGGAGCATCCAGCTGGATGAAGGCATGCAGCATTGATCCCCCTCCTGGCAAGGGTGACATCTCACCGCCCGGCCTCGAAGGTGAAGCGGGTGGCGTCGCGGCCGTAGCGGCGCAGGGAGCAGAGGGGCCAGGAGACCAGCTTCACCCGGGGGTTGTGCGTGTCCCAGAGGTAGATGTTTTCATGGGTGATCTGCAGCTTGCACTCGCCGTAAACGTCCAGGTTGGGGCAGGGGAGGAGGAACACGTTGAACCGGTCTGGAGACGGGGAAAAAAACAGAAAATAAAATAATCCGTGGGGGGTGCAGCGCAGCGGGGTGGAGCCCCGCGCCACGCTCACCCGTCTGCTCGCACTGCACGCCGGGCGCCAGCAGGTCGGGCTCCCCCAGGCTGATGTCGTTCAGGCGGGCGCCCAGGCACTCCACTGACAGCGTCTTGTACCACTCCTCCGCCTCCAGCTCTGCAAGGCACCACGGCAGCCCCTGGGCGACCCCGGCCAAGCCAGGGTGTCTCACCCAGCACCCCCAGCCTGGCCATCTGTGGGCGCTGCCCCGTACCTGAGTCGCAGGTGAAGGTCCGGGCGGAGTCGTCGGTGAAAACGATGGCCACGGCCTGTCTCTTGGTCTCCTTGGGCAGCCGGGTGATGCACTTGACGTTGCTGATCTCAGTGACCTGCAGAGGAGGTGAGGGTTGCACCCAGAGCCCTGCTGTGCTCCCAGACCCTGTCAACTCCTGCACCCACACCCTGGCCCCTGCAGCACCCAGACTCCAGATGCTGCACCCAGACCATGTTCCCTGCTGCACCCAGACCCAGCTCCATCCCACTGGACCACATGGGGCAACAGCCACCCAGCAAGCTGAGGCAAGGAGGAACGTGGTCTGGCACGGGGCCCCCCGCAGTGGGGAGCACCCCAGCACCCCTGCAGTGCACCCCCTCACCTTGGGGCACCCACGCAGGCATGCAGACTTCTCATCCGGGTACTTCTCCAGGCGCTGGGGCCCTTTGCTGGAGGATTTCCTGAAGACCAGCCAGCAGCGCCGGTAGATCTGCCAGACACAGAGCGTGGGGGTCCCTGTCCCCCCCCTGCCCCATGCCCCCATCCCCAGGACCTGTGCCTGCTTCTGCTGACCCTGCTGGGCCTGGGAACAGGAGGGTATGCTGGGGATGGGGATAACCTGGGGCTGCCATCATCCGCCCCCACCCCTCTGCCAGTGCTAATTACAGCGCTTAATTAATGAACACAGACAAAGCTCCCAAGGGGACCCCTGTCCTGGCATCTCGCCGTCCCCTCTCCCGCAGCCCCTGCCTCAGGGGGTGGTGGGGCCATCGTCCCCAAGCATGTCCCCCCCCTCGAGCCCGCTCCCTCTTTGTTCTCCCTAATTAGCATGAAATTACCCAGCATGCTCGCTGCTGCCGGCTCCCAGCGATGGAGGCAGGCGACCGAACCCCCTGACCCCCCACCTATGGGTGCTGCAATTTAACACCACCCTAATTGGCACCCAGCAGCACCCCCCCCAACATTCCGGGGTGGGGCATCCCCGATGCCAAACTGCGTGTGGAGGGAAACTGAGGCATGGGGGGCAGGGAGGGCTCATGGACGTCCCCAAGCCCTCTATGATTTGGGACAGGTGAACGGGTGTCACTCGGTGCAGGATCTGACCGGTTGCAGGATCTGGACCCCTGGGGCTGCTGGATGATTTGGGTACCAACAAGTGGCCTGTCCCTGCCCCCCCTGTGCTCCCCCGCCACCACAGCTCCCCAAATGCTGCTTGTTCAACCCAAAAACAGGGGCACAGGATGCCACAAGAGGGACCCGCAGGAGGGACCCGGCCTCGTCACCTCGCATGGAAACCAACACCTCAAATCCACGGGTGTCCCCCACGACGCCCCCCATTGCCCAAAACCCCCACTCACCCCCAGCTTCTTGCTCTTCATCCTCACATAGCCCTGCTTGATGATGTCGTTAAAATTCGTCGCCATGGCGATGGCTCGATGGGGTGGGGGATATTTTTTTTGGGAGGGGGGCTGCCTTCACCTTTGCCTCCCCCTCTCCATCCTCTTCCTCCGTACCCCTCCTGTCTCACCACCGGCCCAGCTCGGCGCTAGCAGTGTCCCCCATCCTGGCTGGAAAAGAGAAATGACAGATCGACGGGTGACATCTTCCTCCTCCCCCTCCTCCTCCTCCTCCTTCCTGTCCTACTCCTCCTCCTCCTCTTCCTCCTCCCTTCGCTGCCTGAACCATCCGAGTGGAACAGTCCGGTGTTAACCCCTGCCAGCACGGTGGAGCCAGGCCGACACACACAGGCCTGGCACCAGCTCCAACATGTGTCCCGGGAGACACCCACACCGGACCTCGCCCACAGGTCTCCATCACCTTCCCGCACTGCCCCTCCTTCCTTCCAGGCTGCTCGCTTGGGCAGCAACATGTCCCCTGCCGCCGGTCACCAGTGGGGTTCGGTGTTAACAACCCCCTGTTGGCCAGGCCAGCTCTGGTGCGAGGTGTTTTGGCCCTGGTGCCGGGTGCCAAAGGGACCTCAGCTCCCAGTCTCGCACCCCTTGCTGTAACCCAGCCTCCCTCCAGCCCTGCCACGAGACCGGCCTTGCTCAGCCTGGTCCCTGCTGCTTCCTCCAGCCCCTAGAGGTGGGACCAGGTGGGGACCGGGTTCCTTTCCCAGCTGGAGAAGTCCCATGTAGAAGGCAGTAACCCAGGAAACGGGATGGGGCCATCCCCGGGGATGCTCCTCCGTGTCAGTGACGTCCTGGTGTCCAAAGCCCAGCACCCAGAAGGATCCACCTGGGACCGCACCTTGGGGACCCGCCTCTGCCCCGAGAGAGGCCGGGGGCAGAGCTCGCCTTTGAGGGGTAAATCCCCCCCATCACCCTCACCCCCATCACCCCCACCCCACGCACATGAACACCCCGAGGGAACTCCGAGATGCTGAAGGGCACCTCCTGCCCCCCTCCCCGACCTGTCACCTCGGCACCCCCACACGCGGTCCCCGGCCGACCCCTCCATCACGCCTAGGTCTCCCACCGGCACGTCCTACCCGCCGCTGTCACCTCCCCACCTGGTGCCCCCGACACCTGTCACCCCGAACCTCGGTCAAGCCCCGCCGTGTGTCACCCCCTCCGCTCGCCACCTCTGCCCCCCCGGTCGCCCCCCTTACCGGGCTCCCCTTTGCGGGCGGCCCCGCCGGAGCCTCCGCGGCGCTGCGAGCCCCGAGCCCCGGAGCCGCGCGGCCACGCCCGCCCCGGCCACGCCCCTCCAAGCCCCACCCCCCGGCCCGGTACATCCCCCTTCACCCCCCCGGGCTGCCCAACCAGAGCCACAACCGGCCGCCCTGCAAAGAGGTTTCCATCATTAGGCTTCAGAGTGAACACCCTGCGGCGACTGACGGGCGGCGGCGGCGGCGGCCTCTCGCCCGAGCTCATCATCCTGTCTCCTCATCCCTGTCCCTGTCCTCCGTGCCCCCCGAACTCTTTTCCAGGGCGCCCCCACTAAAACTGCCCAAAGGCACCACCCTCCCCCCCCCGCGGCCTCACTTGTTGGGCCATAAAAATATGAATGATTGCTAGAAATAAAAGGGCATTAAAAAAACCCTGTGAGCAGCAAAGAGCCGCGCTTTTAGCCAATCAATTAAAAGGCAGAGCGAGGGGATTAGCTCACCGAAATATTAATTTTTAATAAGGTTGTGTCTGAGCTCCTCCAAAGCCCCCAAGGCCCTGAGCTGTGCGGGTGGGCTGAGGGGGCTGGGCTGGGCTAGGGTGGTCAGCACCCATGTGGGAACATCCCTTCACCCCTGGGTCAGCACCTCTGCACCTCCCCAGGGTCAGCAACCCTGCACCCACAGGTCAGCACCTCTGCATCCACTGGTGAAAGCCCTGAACCCACAGGGGAGCTCCCCTGCACCCATGGGTGAGCACTCCTTGCTGCACAGGCACAGGGATGGGCTTTACCCACACTCTGGGCTGGTCCCCAGGCATGGGGACAGGGATGGCAGTGGTGGGCTGTGGCTAGTGGAGAAACATCCATCCTTGATGTGTCCCCTCCCAACCCTTGCTCCCACGTGGGGACAGACACAGCAGCTCACTCCACCACCAGAGCCTGGGCCCCTCTGGGCTCTGTATTTATAATAAAAAAAATCATATACAAATACATACATATATATAATATATATAAAAAAAGTGGGCAGGAAGGCGTTTTGGATGCCGGGCTCAGTGCCTCTCTCTGCCTGCGCCTCCTCCTCCTGGGCTGCTCAGTGACACTGGCTTTGGGGGCCACATTTGTGTTCCAGGAGTTGCTGGTAGCCGAAGGGGCATCCAATACTGTCCGAGAGGCAGCGGGTTTGGAGCATCCCTGGGCAAGTTCCTCCCCACCGCTCCGTGCCTCAGTTTTCCCATGTATACGAGGGTCGCCTCACGGCTGGGCCCCGCGGTGACACGTTCACTTGAGCGCAGAGGACGGATGTGGCACGTCCCCGTAGCGGTGGCACTGGCCCTGGGCTCTAGGGCACCTGGATCTGCAGGTCCTCGTCCTCGTCGGGGTCACTGGTGCCGTCCCCGGCGTCGTCGGGGCCGAAGCGGGTGCTGCGCATCTTGCCGAAGAGCGGAGTGCTCTGCTGCCGCCGCAGCCTGCCGAGGGACAGCCACAGCTGAGCCCGTCCCCCTGCACCCCTACAGCATGGCTGCACCCCTACAGCATGGCTGCACCCCGGGGGGCCTCCCTCCTGCGGCCCCCACCAAACTCTGGGTGCAGGATCAGCTCCCCCCGCCTGGGGCTGACCCTCCAGCACAACGAACAGGAGCCGTGGATGGTGCTCGGCACAGGTTAAACTCCTCCAGGGCTGGACACCACTGTGCTGCTCAGAGCCACGTAGGAGCGCTGAGCTGGGAGGAGTCGTCCCCCTAAAATGAGGATCCCCCCAAAATCCCCAGGAAGTCCCTGTTCCTGGGAGCCTGCGGTGGTTTTAGCTCCTCACTCGCCCTTGCGTGAAAATTCATCAAAGGAAAATTCATGAAGCAAATTTGAAATCCAAAGGCCCAGGATCCAGTGAGATCCAAACCATCCACTGCATTTTACTGGAAAGCATGAATTATTTAGGGACGAGTACATGGCGAGGCTGCGGGGGGGTGGTGACGAAGCCTCCATTATTCCTCCATGATTTAATGCAGATGTCCCAATAAAATAAAGGATGATTATAAACACCCCTCCTCAGTGCCTCCCGGAACCACGGCATCGATCCCACGGCCATTTCAGCTTTTTACTGCTGGAGAGGTGAAGCAGAGCAATAAACCTCAGCTCCCACCTTCCCAAACTGGTGTGGGATGCTTGGAGCCTGCCCTGGCCCTGGATACTGGCGGGTGCAACCCTAAGCAGCGTGAAACTGGGCTGTACCAGTCTCTGGGCAGCCTTGTGCTGGTTTAACTGGGAGGGGAATGCCATCCAGCTTGCAGTGGGGTGAAGGCTGCTCTGAGGATGGCTGTGCTCCTTCCGAGGATGTCGGAGGCACTTTGGCCATGCTTAGCCAGGGGTTCAACCAGGCAGATGCTGGTTGAGGGATGGTGGTAAGGAGAACATCACCCCACCCATGAGTCCTTGCTGGTCCCCACAGCATCCCACCCAGCCCCTGCTCACCGGGACTGCAGATGCTCCAGCTGCACTTGGAAGCTCTCACTCTGCTCCGTCTGCTCATCCAGCGACCGCTGCAGCTTCCGCGTCTGGTTGTGGGCCTCATCCAGCTGTGGGATGGGATGGGATGGTGCCGTCAGCAGCCACGAAAGTATGAAGGGAGCAGACCCGCCCATCTCAACCCCCTCCACCAGCACAAGCTTCCCCACCTCATCCTCAGCCTGGGCCAGCTCCTTCTTCAGCTCCTCCACCCTCAGGCGCAGCTTCTTCACCTCTGCCTCGTGCTGCTCCACGCGGCGGTTGGCGTGGGCCAGCTCTGCCATCTTCTCCTGGTACTGCTTCTTCAGCTTGGTGTGGATGTGCTTCAGGTCGGCCAGCTCCTGTGGTGGGTATGGGGCAGGGGGCTGAGCAGGGGAGAGCCACTCCCACCACTGAATGCCCCCTTCTCCCTCCCCAGGGACCTCTCCCATTGCCCCACCCCATGACCCAGGAGCCGATGGAGCAAGGACGGGGTCACCACCATTCCTTAGGTGAAGGGTGGTGGCGGAGTTTGGGCTTGAGGGAGTCCTTGGGGATGCTGAGCCCCATGACAGGGTCACCCAGGGATGCAGTAGCGGGGGCCAGGACCACCCCCATGGCACCTTGTTCTTCTCAAAGAGCTCGGCCTGGATGGTTTTGAGGTCGGTGTCCAGGGCACTGGCTGTCTGGCGCCGCTTGCGAGCTAGCACCTCCTCCAGGTCCTCGATCTGTGCCCGCAGCTTCTTGTTCTCCCGCTCCAGGTTGAGCTTCTCTGTCTCCAGCCGCTCCCGACGGCCCCACTCGGCCGCGTTCTCTGCCTGCAGCCGCTCCATCTGAGACAGGGACATGGGGTGGCCGAGGGGCAGCAGGGACACCCCTCGCCGCTCCCTTTGCCCCCCGTGTTGGGGTTTGGCCTCACCTCCGCACGCAGCTCGGCCAGTTTCTTGTCCATGCTGGAGCGAGCGCCCAGCTCATCCTCCAGGTCCTCGGAGATGCGCCCCAGCTCATCCTGGTGGATCTCCTTCAGGATATTGAGCTGTGGGGGGACACAGCACCCCAGGTGGACAGTGAGCACCCACCTTCCACCACCTGAACCCTGACTGCATCCACCCACCCACCCACCCAATCTCTGCAGATGGATCCACTGGCTCAGTAGCACTAATGAAGACCCTTAATGAGCACCCTGCAGTTGGGGAGGTGGCTGTGGGCCACCATGTGCAACCATGAGGACGTGCCACCCCCCCGGGGACAGGCTACCCCCCGGGCACCCCTGCTCCCCAGGCACCTTGCTCACCTGCTTCATCACCTCCTGCTTGTTCTTGTTGAGCTCCTCATACTTGATCTTCCACTGGCTGAGCTCGCCCTCCAGCTTCTCGATGTTCTTGCTGAGCGCCAGCTTGTCCCTGGGGAGAGGCAATGCTTGTGACAGCCAGCAGGACCCCATGGGACATCCCATGCCAGCGGGGACCAGGCTGGGATTGGCTGGCAGCATACAAGGATGATGCCCCAAGCACTCACTCCCGCTCCTTGAGCAGCACTTTTTGGGACTCATCCAGCCTCAGCTTCAGGGCGGTGACTTTGGTGGCATCCTCCTCCATGACGCTGACATCCTCCCAGAGCAGGCGGCTCCGTTCCTGGCGGCTGAAGGAGGCCCGGGGGCCCCGCTGCTCCCAGCTCTCATCCTGCTTGCTCGTCAAGATGTTTTCCATCAGCTCCAGCTCCTGTGGCGCCGTGGGTGGCCCAACACAGGGAACAGGGTGAGGGGGCAGCCCTGGCTTCCCAGTACCTACAGCACCCAGCCCTCACCCCATAACCAAGAGCATCCCTCCCTCCATTGCCCTCCCTGTGCTGCTCTGAGGGGTCTGACACTCCCCATGCTAATCCAAGAGGAGTCCCCCGACGCTGCCCACTTTTGCAGGGCAGGCAGTGGTGGTTTGAGGGTGCACATGGGTGGGTGATGGGCATGAGGAGCTCCCCTGTCGGCCTCGGGCAGCCTGCCACCCTCACCTTGCCTTTTTGGGGCACCTCAGCCCCCACGTCCCGCACAGGCTCGTGCTCAGGGCTGGCGTCCCCCTCTGCCCCGTCGGTGGTGGGAGGATTGCTGGGGCTGGGCTGCGGCCGTGGTGGCGGTGGGCGCTCCTCCGGCCGGTCGCGGTCACGGTCCCGGTCGCGGCGCAGGCTGGCCAGCTCCTTGGTGAGGGCCTCCAGGCGATGCCGCAGCTGCCGCACCTCCTCGCGCGCCCGGTTGCGCTCGGCTCTCACCTTGCTCCACTTCTCGCGCCAGTTGGCCGTGCAGTCCGACCACCAGCGCATCGTCTTCTCCATCTGGGCCGCCCGCGCCCGCGCCTCCTCCAGCTCCCGCAGCCGCAGCTCTTCCCGCCCTTCCCAGTCCCCTTCCAGCAACGCCGGTGGGGGCCCCGGAGAGGGCGTCCCGCTGGGGGGGGACGGGGAGGACTCGGGGGCCAGCAGGGCCAGCAGTGAGCCCCCCGGCAGCGGCGGGGAGCCGGCCAGGCGTGAGGCCCCGCTTTGGCTCATGGTGGGGCTTCCCTAGGGCATGGCTGTCACCGTCGGCAGCGTCTGCGCCCGGGGACCTGCGGGAGACAGGAGGGATCAGGGGGACTGGGGGACTGAGGGGCCGCAGTTGGTAGCCGGAGGGAAGTGGGGGCAGGGGCACAGTCCCTGGTTTTGGGGGATGGCACTCTGAGTGGTTCCAGGTATGGACCCTGGTGAGGTTAATGTCCCCAGCTGGGTCCCTGGTAATGACCCCAGCCAGGTCCCCAACAAAGACCCCAGTGAGGCCCCCAGTGAGGACCGCAGCCCACTGCCCAGCCACTGGCACCTAGTTGCAATTTGGCACTACAGCCGGCACAGCCAGGCACATGGCACCTCTGCCAGCACACCAGAGGGAAGACATCTACATGTTATTTGGGTGACGTCATCTGCATGAGGTCATCCTATGATGTCATCTGCAAGCCTCCAAGACTGTCCCTGCTGCTGGGGTGGGGGGACTCGGCTGCACCCCAACAGCTCCAGCAGAGGTTACAGCCTGGATCCAGCGCCAGCGCCAGCGAGGCAGGAACAGCTCCGGAAGGACAGCCTGAGCTGGCGTGGGGGCAGGACGTGTGCACCGAGGCCGCTGAATGTGCTCTCCAGTGATGGCTCAACAAAGGGCCAGAGCGTCTCCATCTCAACGTGGACCTCACATCCTGGCACGGACCTCACATCCCACCACGGACCTCACATCCCAGCGCAGCCAGGCAGGCAAACCGCCCCAGGAAACCTCAATGGGAGGCTGCCGCGCGCCCTAATGGGATAAGTACAGGGTCCAGCTGTGGCTGCCCGCAGCTCCGGCAGGTTTTTGGGACGGTGCAGCCCAGACCTGCCACCAAATCCGGTCGGGCTGGGAGAGCCGGTGCAGGAGCAGCGGGAGCAGAAGCCGATGACAGTTCGGGGCTTTGCACAGGAGAAAAAAATTAATTTCTCCAGTGATATTTGCTGAAATGGTGAAGTTTTGCTAAAACTCAGAGGCAAGCCCAGGCCTGAGCTCTCCGGGCTGCTCCCGGAGGAATCCCAGGCACTGGCAGGATCCGGCACCAGCAGCACCCACGGGAGCACAGATGGAGCACAGGCACCCACGCAACACCCACGGAACTATGTGTGGAGCACCGGCAACCATGCAGCACCCACGGGGGAGCACACGTGGATCCCAGGCACCCCTGCAACACCCACGGGGAGCGCGCATGGATCCAGGGCACCCCTAAAACACCCACGGGGATCACGCGTGGATCGCGGAAACCCCTGGAACACCCGCGGGGAGCACAGGCACACCCGGAGCATCCGCGGGGAGTGTGCATGGATCCCAAACACTCCAGGAACAGCACAGGAACCACGCGTGGATCGCCGGCACGCGCGGATCGCGGACTCCCCCCGCATCCTCCCCGCGGGGTCCCGGCGGGGGCGGGACCGCCCGCCCCCCGCGCCTCCCCACTGGCCGCGGGCTCTGTCACTCATCCGCCGCGGCCCGGGCGGCGGGAGCCGCCGCATTCCTCCGGTACTCGGGAATTCCTCCCGGTCCGGCCCGGCACGGCCGGGACCCCCCGGCATCGCTCGGCCCGGCCCCGCCCGGCTCGGTACGGCCCCGCCCGGCCCCTCTGCGGCCCGGCCCGGCCCGGCGCGGCCCCTCCCCCGCCAAAGTTTCCCGCAAGTTTCCCGGTGCCGCCGGTGCCGCCGCCCGCCCGCCCGCCCGGTGCCGCCCGGCCCGGCCCGGCCCGGTCCCTCACCCACCGGTGTCGGCACCGCGGCGGTGCGGGCGGTGCGGGAGGTGCGGGAGGTGCGGGCGGCCCGCGCGGGCCGGGGCGCTGCGGCCGAGTCTCCTCCTCCTCTTCCCCCTCCTCCTCCTCCTCCTCCCGCCGCCGCTCCCGCCCCCCGCCCGCGCCCGGGGGCCGGTCCCGGGCCGCGCTGCGTGTCCTGCCCCGTGGCACTGGCGGGGGGGCCGCGCTCGGGGGGCTGCACGCGTGTCTGCAGTGGGTGCTCGCACACGCCTGTAGGTGGTTGTTCTCCCGCGGGGGCCTTGCCCGTGGGTGTTTCTGGGCTGCACCAGGGAGCGGGTGCCTAGGTGGGGGCGCGGCGGGGGACAAGACGTAGCCACTCGAGTGTCCCCACGGGTGAGCGGGTCCCCGGTGACCACGCAGGACTGCCCGCTGCACCCTCACACGTAGCGGTGCTGGCTCCCTCCGGCTCCACAAGCAGAAAGCCCCAAAACACCATTCCCCCCCTGCCTTTTCCCCTTTGCTCTATGCTTTTCATCAAATTGGGAAATACTGGCGGCCAAGAGGATTTGTGTCCCACGGGATGTGGAATTGATGCCGTGGGGCGCCAACACCTTTTTCTACCCCAGGATCAAGCAGAGCAGGGGAAAACAAATCAAATTAAAGGAAAAATTTAAATGCCTGTGCATGTTCTTTCCAAGCCTGGAATTTTTCTGCTGGAAACAACCCCAAAAAGCTGGAGGCGGGGGATGCTTTGCTCTCCCACGCCCCTATCCCAGCGTTTTGTGCCAGGGGAAGCGGCGCCTTCACTTGCAGACGGTGAAGCGATTTTGCAGGCGGTTTGGCCAGAGCTGCGGGTGCTCGGCTGGGGCTTTAACCCGCTCCCAGCACTAAAACCGGCGAAGTTTTTTCCAAATGTGTCTTTGCTGTTTGCTCGGACGTTCGTGTCTTGGTGACACCAGCAGGCTCAGGGATGCATTGCAGCATCCTGGGATTTCTGGGGTTTACCTTTGCAAAAATCAAACCTCCTTGGCCTGGGGCATGTCACCTAAGGACGTGGCCAGTGACCCATGTCTGTGGCCATTCTCCTGGTACCCTTCTCCTCCAGCTCTGGGTTTCCAGTCTGACCCAGGGTGCCTGGCTGTGCCCAACAAACCCCCTTAAATCTGTCCCCAAAGGGGTCCCATCTTAGGGATGGGTCATATAGAGGCAGATGGTTGCCCCATATCATGAACTGAGACCTAGAGACTTGTTGCATGAGTGGCTGCAGGCACTGGGCAAGCACAGGGTGACAGTGCTGCCCCATGATCTGCACTGACGTGGCTGAGCTGTCCCTGCTCCCTGCATTTCTGCACGTGACCACATCCCTGCATTTGAATCCAGCATCCCCTGGATGAAGAAGTCTTTTGGGGCAAACCTAACCATTTTAGGGGGGAAAAAAGACCTTTATTCCTTCAACTGTGCCAGCTGGCATCACTGGGGAGCTGTGCTGTGGTGTCTGGGGGTGGCATGGAGGACTCTGGCTCTGCAATAGCAGCAAACGTGGTATCACAGAATCATAGGCTATTTTGAGTTGGAAGGGACCCATAAGGATCATCCAGTCCAACTCCCTGTTCCTTGCAGAACAATCTGAAGCTAAACCATATGACTAAGAGCATCATCCAGGCAATCCTTAACTCTGTCAGGCTTGATGCCATGACCACTTCCCTGGGGAGCCTGGGAGCCTGTTCCTGTGCCTGACCGCCTCCTCAGTGAAGAGCCTTTTCCTAACGTCCAAACTAAAATTCCCCTGAAGCAGCTTCCTTCCATCTCCTGTGTCCCCTGGGGACTGCGGTTGCCTCTCTGCCCATGGTCCCTCTGTCGGTGACCAGCACTGACCGCTGCTTCTCATTAGAAGCGCCTTTTAATTGCCGGCGTGGGTCTCCTCCACTGCTGGGGGAGCCGTGCGGCTCTGGCCGGGGTCTCGCCGCCCCCCTCTACCACCCCGACCCCCCTGGGCCGGCAGAGCCGCGGAGCGGCCACGCTCCGCCGTGTCGTTGGTGCAGGTCCCACTAGATGGCACGAGGACCGCGGGAATGGTCCCCGCTCGGGAATGTGCTCGCGCAGGGCCGGCCGGTGGCGATGCGGGACTGCGGCGGTGCCGGTGAGCGGTGCCGAAGAGCCCCCTGAGAGACAGGAGGGGTCCTCCGACCTCCCTTAGGGAGCTGCCACTGCGCATCTCACAAGGGACAGCCAAAACCAGGGTCTCTCCAGGCACATCTCCGATCCATTTGGTGCCAGCGGGCTGGCAAGTGTGGCCGTAAGGTGGTGACACTCCCTTGCGACCCTGGGTTTTCACCCACGACAGCACCTCACCAAAAGCCCTCCCACTGGCCCCAAACCCAGTGCAGGGATGGAGGGCACCTGCAGCTCTGGGGCGGTGGGAAAATGGGTAAGCAGGGCTTTGTCTTGGCATCAGGGGACATGCCAGCATGGAGGAAAGTGTGGGAAGTGAGTAAGTGAACCGATAACTCGGCTTTCCCCCCGCTCTCACTGAGGAAGGCAGACCCTGAGCAGAACTCCTCAAGGTGACGACGCTTTACTGGAGTTTAAGCAATGCAGCCGATGGAAAATAAATAGCCAGGACAAACTGCAGGGACTAAATCCATCGGTTGGGGGCGGCGAGTCACCCCTGAGCCCCTGGTGCATCCCCATACACCGAACTTCACCTGGAACTGCACCCGGGGTTTTGCCTCTCCTGATGCCTGAGATTTTGGAGCTGGGCATCCTGCTCTGCCTGCCAGGATGCAGAGCAGCATCGCAGCACGGCAAATCCGCCTGTGGTCACAGCAGCGTCCCCATCGGCTGTAGCTTGGAGGGTGTGCCAGCGAAGTGCCATTTGCTGGTGCTGCCCATTCCAGGTTCGGTGGCAGGGGACCGGGCACCACCGGCAGCCTCACGGGGTGACACACTGCCCATCTCTGCTGAGTGACGTGTCCCTTTCTGGCTCCTTCCCGCTTCTGGGCAGTAAAGGAAGCCGCTGGCTATTGTTCTTTGTTCCATGCACAAAGAACAGCCAGCGCTGCCGCGTTCCCATTACTCCCACCGGCGGCCCGGACAAAGCCCGTCCCGCCGGGGCTGTGTGCCCCCTCCTTCCAGCCCGCCGGGCACCGCGGTGCCCCCGGCTCACATCTCGCCGCGTGGCGATGAGCTGTGCATGGCTCACCGCTCCGCCGGGTGACTTCAGCTATTCAGTAAGAAGCCTGGGGGTTTGGTGAGGTGCCAAGTGCCTCGACTTTCCCCCCGTGAGCCCCACCGTGGGAGAGTCGCATCCCAGCACTTCTCCCGTGCCCCTTCTCTCCATCTTGAGAGTTTGGGGTTTGCGGTGTGAGTCCTGCCGGCTGCCGGTGCCTGAGTACGCACCAGTGCCGGTACACGAACACATGCACCTTGTTCCGGTATCCGGTGGAGCTTGGAAAACAACCAGTTGGTGGTTGGCTCCTGGCAGCGGGAACACAGCACCCGTGGGGCAGGGTGGTCCCCAGGGAGCTGAGTCTGTTGGGGAGACTGGTGGGACATGCTGGTTCCCGGGGAGCTGAGCTCATTGCTGGTGACCTTTTCCCACCCTGCCACACTCCCCGAGGTCCGCTGGGACCACAGGTTGGGAGCGAGCCTCCCACCACCCCAGTGCCATGGTGCCAGGGCCAGCTCAACCCAGCTCCCGGCAGGAGGGGGAGCCAGTCCCTGTAACCTTCCCAAGGAGAAATGATGCCGTTCAACTTCCTGGGCGCCTCACCTGGCAGGAGGCCAGTGCTCAGCTGCTGGAGGGGTTGTGCCGTCCTTCTTTTCCCCAGGAAAGGTGGCTCGGCTGCACCATGGTGCCTTCAGGCTCCAGAACCAGCCCTGGCCCCAGGGACAAAGCCGTGGAATTATTGCAAATTCTCCAAATTTTTGGGAAACGAGCAGCTGGGGAAAACACTGAATTTATTTAGAAATGGAAGTTTCAGGGCAGACCTTGGTTCCATTTTGGGACCTGCCTTTGGGACTTGGCTGCCAGGGAGCTGATGAGCCTGATTCCTGCATCTCGTGGGACCATCCTCACCTGGTGCTTGTGCAGATACCCTCCGGGGACCAATTTCCCCCCAGATTCCCCTGACATCACTGGGAGTTTATTTGCAAAGCCGAGCCTAAACAAATAATCCGGGATATTTATTGCTCTGCCTACAGTTGGGTTTTACAGCCCTGGCACCTGCTGAGTCGCTGTTATTGTTGACAGAGGAAACCCCGACTTTGGGGGGGGGGGGATCCACCTCCCCATCCGATGTATTTCCAAGAGGAAGGCTGAGGGAGGCGGAGCAGCAGCAACGGGGGAACGCGAGCACCCTCAGCCACTCACAGGCAGCAGTGACGATCCCCTGGGATCACCATCCTCCGAGACTCCCAAAGCTGCCCTGACATTGCTCACCAGATTCGGATGAGAGATCTGCAGGTATCCCCTCCCACCAGCACTCATCTTCTTCCTCATCCTCGTCCTCCTGCCAGAGCAAGGCCGAGCCCTACTCGCAGTCACACCTCCGCTGGGAGCACCATGAGGCTTCAAGGGAGGTCTGGGCACCCCGGGCTGGGGCTGGCACCGCTTGGCAGTGGGGCTGGCACAGCCCTTGGCTGCAGACGGTGCCAGGGCACCCCTGCCCACACTTGTCTCCCCTCGTCTGGCAGCAGACTGGTGGGACGTGCCCTCTCCTGCCGTAATCTGCCCGTCCCACCACTCTGCCAGCACGTTCCCGCCTGTCTGCCGCCAGCACCGGGGCCTTGAGGAGCTTTTAGGAAGATTTAGGAGGTTTTGGAAGCTTTAAGGTTCTTTTGGAGCTTTTAGGGCCGTTAGAAAATTGAAGGGGTTTTAGGAACTTCAGGGCTTTTGGGGAACTTCTTGGGGTTTCAGGAACTTTTAAGGGGTTTAGAAACTCCTAAGGCTTTTAGAGACTTTAAGCATATTTAGGAGCTTTTAGGGCTTGCAGGATCTTTTAGGGCTTGCAGGATCTTTAGGCATATTTAGGAGCTTTTAGGGGTTTAGGA